CCGAGGGCAGAACTGAAAAATGCAGTATTTGAAAGTGGCGCCCGAATTGCATCATGGCGCCAGTTGTCCAAAATCCTACGGTACCAAAGGAGGGGTTTGGAAAAAGGGTGCCAGGCCGAGAACGGGATGGAGCCAAAACAGCAAAAGATAGACCAGGGATCGAGCCCTGGCRAAGTCCGTAACACTATCCCCTCCCTCTAGAAGGCAACGTCCCGGCTGCCAAAAATCATGAAGCAATGCTGAAATCTGTGAAGGACGGGACGGGGCCGATCACTGGTTAACGAGTCGAAAGGGAAGAGGGGTATAATGTGGGTGGCATGGGCTGCGGGAGTAAGAGGGAACAGGGTTGTCCTACAAATGAACTAAAGGGAAGATAGGGAGCAGGGTGGTCCTATTGATGAACTAAGGGGACTGCATGGTTCGCTATAGGTTAAGGGGGAACAAAGTTCAGGGAACATGGAACTTCTATTGATGTTCTACTGGGTAAGGGAAACGGTGTTCAGGAAAACAGGGTATTTCCATTGATGTTCTAGTGAGGTACGGGGGACAATGGTTAGGGAAACAGGGATCTGCTAATGATGTTCTACAGGGCTGTCAAAGTCAGGAAAAATAAAAATGAAAATGTTTGTTCAGGATGCGAAGGCTGGTGTGTCCGAAGGAGTCGGAAGCAGAATCTCATGTAGGAACAAAGTGTCCAAGTGTCTTGAAAGGGGGTCTGCAGCGGTCTTCAGCAGCTACGATAGGTAGAAGTCCAAGAAGCGTAGTAGTAGTTCAAGTGTCAAGGTCCGAGTGCTAGGGTGCGTCCGGTACACGAACTGCAATGAGGTCTGATATGGGAAGCAAGGAAGTCGCAGACTGACGCAAAGATCCATGTCACAAGTTGCTGCTCCAGTAAGTCCGCGAGTCGGGAAGCCGGCCAATGAAACAGCATGGTGGCCAAACCAGCTGCATAATCTCCATGAACAGTGAGGCAGCACGCCATCGTCCTCGTGCGCTTGCCATTAGATCCTTTATCGCCGGCGTCACGCAAGTTCACAAGCATTGGACAAGAGAGACAAGGTAGTGGAGAGGACAGATGGGACAAGGCTAGGCGAGGGCAAGGGCAGATCAGACATCAGGAATGCTGATCAAGGGAAGGGTGGACTGGGTTCAAGGGTGTGTGTAGAGCAGGGTTGCAAGGGTTTTTTGCGGGGGTTTATGCCATAGTGATATAGGTATCTAGGACGTAGGATTAGCACGATCATAGGCGCGGACAAGTTTCATGGCGTTCTTAAGATTAGAGAGAGGTTCCCATGTAGATTCTTCGTCGGGGTATCCSGTCCATTTGACTTTGTATTCAGTGATTGGTTCCGGATGATCAGAWACCTGAGTGGTTCGTCGGYCGATGATGGTTTCGACAAYGAATTCAGGGCCTGTGGGTAGCATGATTGGTGGAGGTCTAGGATATGGGCGGTCGGCGAACTGGAACGGAGATTCATGGTATTCTTTTAGGTACTCGACATGGAAGACTGGGTG